ACAGAAAAGAACATTTATTTCAGAAAATACACGTTTGCATCATGGAAAATCTTTATCATATAAAAATTGCAAGTGAAGACTTCCTCATTTCTATGGTGCTACATTGGGGGGAATAATTTTGTTAATTTGAAAAAAAGATTTTAAACTATTTCCAGGTTTTATGTTGAATTTAAAAAAATACAATATATTCAAGCTAAAAATAAAAGTTTCCGTTTGAGCATAATTTTGATTGAATTCTGGATTTCAGTTGATACCACACCCTTACACCAAATCAGTGCCAAAAGAATGAAACTAAAAAAATAAAGTGAAAAAAAAGATCTTGATGTGAAAAAATCTGAAAAAATAAGATTTGATGCTGCAAAAAACAACTGAAACAAAAATATATATTTGAAAGGGGAAAATGAAAATGAAGATCTGAATCAAAATTATATTTAAACTGAAAAAAATCGCATACTTAATTTTAGTTTGATTACATTGTTACGTACTGTTTTTTAAGGTTCAACATCAAAACCTGAACTTTCATTTAATTTTTTTTTTTCAAATTAACAAAACTATTGGCCCTGATTTAACAAGATAGGTTCCCCGTTAGTAAATCCTGGACTGATGATTTTGTTTATCAGTCACACTCTCCAGCCAAAATAGGGGCCAGATGTTTCTTAAACAGTTATGTATCTTTTCTGATCTTCTTGTGTACAGATGTTGACCAAATGACCCCGTGCTGTAGTTACTGCAAGCCTTTAGCATGCCGTGCAGCACTGGAACCGCATGTGCGTGTGTGTCTGTGCATGTGTGTGCGTGTGCGTGTGCATGTTTTCCTAGAAAGAGGTTCCTCTTCCCAGGACCTTCAGGTTATGAACACTGGCAATCAAAGAACAGGCAGAGCTAATTCAGGCAGGTGATAAAATGTGTCGTTGACTCTTTGTGCTGGTGTCATTACTGTGGCTAATTCATACGCCTGTGTGTATTGGAGCGTGGTGGTAAATATTAGCTCTGGAGTCTCCTGCTCCGAGAGATTGTGTTTGCTCAGCCACCGGCCAAACGCTCTCCTCTTTGTTTGTGTGCCACTGGCGGTGAAGCACCTTCCATGTACTGCAGCCATGACCTGGCAAAAGAAATATGAAAGAATGGTCCAGGTTGGGCCAGACTGCCGAAGTCGGTGGCTGAGCAGTGCAGTGCGTATCAGTGTGGAAAGCGCCTGTATTTGTGCTGGGTGTGGAGGGTCACTACAGATAAACATGCATAGTACGCAGACTTATCTACCTGCAGATTAGGGACTTTCTTGTCCAGAGGTTCAGAAGAAGCGGAAATACCATTCAGGACCTGCTTTCTCTGAATGCCCAGCCTCTCTGCCTTAAACCCTCAAAACTTCAGATTTGATCTTATTCAGACTTTTGGAAATCTGCCCCCACTCTATCGCGGCAAAAATGTCAATAAAGGTGATATATAAGGACTGTAATATAAGGATTATACATTTTTTTCTGTTTGAATAATTGTTATTGTGATTTGCATGTGAATCTCGGTTCGTGAACTAAGCCTGAAGCGCGTTCGGAGATAGCGAGAGGCACGTGGGTTCTTGTTTGTGTGTGTGCCCGCTGTGTGGTTAACAATTAAGCCCTTTGTTTTAGCCCGCCAGAGCACATGGCACTGACTCGTGCGGATGTGCCATCGCACCAGTCTTTGTGCGAGCTTTCTGTTTCCGTGGTGAATTTAACCACTCTCTCATGCACGCATATGTGTGTGTGTAAGAGAGAGAGAGAGAGAGAGAGGGAGAGAGAGAGAGAGAGAGGGAGGGAGAGAGAGAGAGAGCGGATGTTGTGCTGGGCATTTTTCCCCTAATATTCGTGCTTGAGAGCAAACATATTCCTCTGACATATGGTGCTACAGCCTTGAGATCTGGCCTTGAGGTCTTAGTCCTCTGCCAGACTTTTTCCATTCAATTAATTTATTATTTACAATTATTTTATTAATTAACTGGTTTAACAGTTTGCAGCGTCTGATTAATTTGGTCTAAATTCCATGGATTACTGCTGCCCAAAGCAGGGGTCTCATCAACACTGATAACAGTCTCATATTCTGATACGAAAGGACAAGTAATCACACGCATCTCTCCTGTTAGCAACAAAATCAGCGACCAGACAGGGAGAGGAGTGTTTGTATGTGTTTCTCCATGCGTGCCTGCGTGCGTGCGCGCTTTTAGCCAGGCTGTGTGAATTGTGCTAATTGCGTTTCAGCGTTCTATGGACTGCAATGCTACTTCTCTGATTTACTGGACTCTTTCTCATTCGGGTGATGCCAGTCTTTCAAGTGAAACTTACAAGCAGGCCAGAAACTAAGACGGAGAAAGGAGGAGTGTGTGTGTGTCATTGTCAGGAAGCCACAGCCATTCTTCCTCCTCCAAATAAATCAATTTCTCTCTCTCTCTCTCTCTCTCGGTGCCCAAAACAATAATGATAATAATGCTGGGTGAAGTAAACAGATCTTTTGAGGAGAGGTTTCTTAGCAGAGCGACACAGCCAGTCACTGTGCCCTCGGGGATACGATGCACAGCAGGTTCGTTGGGGTAGGAGGGAGAGGTGGACATTTGTGACTTTATAGTGTCACATGGCGTGAGAGATCTGTTTGCTTGGGGGGTGAAATGTGGCCCCGAACCATGCAGAGAGCACAGCAGTTAAAGTCATTAGTTGAGTGCTGCTGAAAAGCCACCGAAATTAAGTGTGTTGTAAAAGTGTGAGTGAGTGTGGAGGGGAGTCACCAAAAGTCAGTCACCTGTCCAAGCAGAATGTGACCTTGTCTTCATTTTCCAGGAAGTCCTCTTTCAACGAGATTCCCAGGACAATGCTTGGAAAGGAGAGATGTGTAACCAAAAGAGAGATGTGTTACGCACATCTGTGTGCTACACAGGAGGCGGCCAGAGGAGACGGGGAATGGTCTGGATGGGGCTGATTATCACATGATTGATCCTGACCCAGATGGCAAAAACAGTCAACAGGTTAGACATCAAGTGTGAAAAGACTTTCACTGGTACCTCACTGATTAGCCTCGACGACAACTGAGTGGCGGCATTAAATGTAGGTTTTCGGTGATGTGCAGGTTCAATAAGGCCAGTTTAGGGTCTTCGACCTTATGGACATGCCACCATTGCTGTGGAGAAACTGCATTACATCAGAGGAGCAGATTTGAACCTACACTCACCCCCCACCCCACCCCACCCCACCCATTACCCAGATGAATTTTTGATCCATGTTTAACTCTTTTAAATGCATCTGTGAAATGATTGACATGTAGTTTAAATAACAGGCCATTCTTTTCCAATAATAGTGCATCATCGATTTTAATTACAGTATACTATGCTATAAGATGCATCTGCAATGTACAGCAAAGTGCTTAGTGTGCTCTTAAGTATGGTCTTTACTCTTGATCACGAGATTGCCAGTCAAGCATTTCAGCAGTTTTTCATAAGGTGTCCCTGTGTCCAGCAGTAATTTTAAAAACTGCACAGCCGCATTAACAATCATACAATGTTATCATATAATGAGGTATTCAGCAAAAACAATTTGCTGGCTGATCTTTGTAAACACGTCAAAATTGATATTTGAAAAGCACTGTTAAACAACCGAGTATGCTTTAACCAGAAAATTTAGTGCTTACATTCTTACCTTCCTAGTTTTTATTAATTATGTATCATTATTTCACCAAATTTGAACTGATTAAACATTCATGACGCCTTGGTGGCAGACTGAAAAGCATACCAATCGTTCGTCCACTTTGTATTGTTTGCATTTGCATTTTTGCGTTTGACGTACACACTACGAATGTGTTCAATTTCAGGTTCTTTATTTTTCCGATTTTGCGGAATATAGGATTTTGGCCACATGATGTTCAACTTTGCACTGATGCCATCTAGCTCGTACGCACAGATATTTCATAGGCCTGCCGGTCATTGCTAAAACATTAGGTGGAAATCACATAAAGGGCGCATATTGCTGTCGCGCACATATAGGCCTATTGATCAAGTAGATACAGGCACTGCAAAGCATCCACGGACAGGGATAAACAGAACCTTTAATGTGCTTTATATACCATGATAACCTGTATATTTCCAACAGACACTCTCTCATTTATGAGTGGACTTGGGTTCGAGTCCCACATGCAATCAGAATTTCCGTTCAAGTTTCCCATAATTAGCCAAGTCACCGTTGACGGACCGTAGACATACACCGCTGCGATAAAATACTGCCACCCCTCGCCTTAAATCTCCAGCCGCCGGCGCTGCCGTCCGCTTGTTCTTCGTGACGCCGCGAGCCAATCGGCGCGCAGCGCTCTGCGCGTGAAATGCGCCGCGCGCTCCGAGCGCAGCCAGTCTGTCACCGACGAGCGTGCAGTGACGCCCGGGCTGCCCGCTCTCACTGTCGGGAGGGAGCGTCTGCAATGACCCGCGGTGCGAGAAGCCGAACCGTGGATGATCGCCGTGATTCGCGCTGAGCGGCCAGAAATAGCGCTATCGCGCTACCCCAAAGCTGTGAATTAAAAGTTGGGAAGAATAAGCTTCGTTTTAACGCTGCCTGACTGCATACAACGGGAAATAAATATTTACAATGTGAAATGCATAATCTTCGGATGCTTCGGGATTTCTGATGTTTTTCACTGCCTCACTCTCACATGTATGTTGACGTCCGCCTCCTTGAACGACGCGGAGCGCGTTAAAACTTTGCGCGGTTGTTTGTTTTTTGTGCATCTTCATTTTGGAGACTCACCTTAAATTGCCACCTACTTGCAAGTATCCAACCTCTCCCCCCGTGGCTCCGAGATCGAGCTCGGTGGTGGCTGGATATTTGTAGCTGGAAGCAGCCCTGTCTTCGAGAGCCGGAGGGGTAAAGCGCGTAGCCGAAGTTGCGAACTCCGCTAAGGCAGGGTATGGCTTTATTTCAGTCCTCTGTGGCAGACAACATGATTTTCCTCGGGGTGCTGCTGAACGTCTTCATTCGTGGTAAGCTCCAGCCGAAAATGCTTCCATTGTTTTCGGAACTCTCCTTATTTATTTGCCTTTCCTTCCCACCTTTTTCGTAGATTTTATTAGTTATTATTATTTCGGGGAACCCTTAATTGTTGTTGCATTTTGAAATATCATTATCCTGTCTTCTTGGGTGTGCAAATTGTATTTAAATGTAAGAGGTTTCTAATACAAACATCATCCTCAGTTCTACAATTGTACATTTCCCCTACAGTATTGAAAATGCTTGGAATTGCTAATGTGGAGAGTGATACGTTTGTTTAACTACATTTTCAAAAAGTGACATTTCCACGTGTCCACGAACCATGATAGGATAAAGAGAAGAGCTTGTGAAATTAATAGTAGTAATATTCACTTAAATGTTATACATTATTATGTGTTCATCGATATCTAGTGTCAGAAATCTAAGCTCGTTTAGAATCATATTTGGTAAATCTACAAATTCATTGACATTTTAATTCAATGGAAAAGTTCTTCCTCTTACAATAATGTCCGTTTTTCATGCTTTTTATTGCGCTCCGTGTGGACTTCATTTATTACCCTTATATGCAACTTTTGGCACTAGCTTTTTGCCAAACCAGAATTGCTTTTAATAAAATAGCCTAATAGATATTTAGTGAAATACTGCTTAAGTTGTATCTTACCGAGCCCAAATGAACGCCTTTTAAGGGAATTAGTCTTTGTCTAACATGGTGAAACCTTGATTCCACAAATGAGGAGTGGACTTTGTTAAACAGTAAATAGACTTTGTTGCAAAACGTTTTTAAACGAAGTAACAAAGAGAAAAATATTTGTTTACGATACAACGCAATTAAGGTTCATATGTGCCGTCATCTGCCTTGTCAAGACTTTTGTCTGTAAACGAAGCTCCTTAGTCAACCTCACTCAAGACGGGGGTGATATTATATTGCTATAGATATACTTATGACTCCAGAGATCCAGGATGACATCATTTCTCAAGGTCCCCGACATATACCACAATCTCCATATTTTTGTGAAATTATTCACAGAGCGGATTTCAAGAATAATGTTTTCCAAAACACTCGCATATATAGACGCACTCGTAGCCATATGGTCATATTCTGCATCCCCCATGCTGTGTTTTGGTATATTCAAACTTCGCCATATCGTTCTTGGCTCGGCATGTGATTCGGTCCGCTGTCTGCACGCTTCCCAACGTGCCCCGCAAACACATCGTGGGTAATGGAGCGGGAAAATTCTATGTGGGATATTTCTCATATTTATAGCTACTCGAGAGGTGATCGCGTTCACAGCAATTATTTTAATTTCTCTTTTTGATTACATTCCAAGTGCGTTGGTGAAATTGCAACATAGGTATTACCCTGCAATCAACATACTAACTATAAAACACAACGAAACCCAGTCGGGTCGGTTCAGCCTTTGATTGCGGGGGGTGATGCCGGGGTTTCTCATCGGCGATGGCAAGACAATAGAAACGGTGATTTTCTGCGTTTCGCCCACCGTTTTAGTGCAGGGTTCCTTAATTATCTTGCTCCCTTTTCTCCTTACATCACTGGGAGCCATCCTTCGGATACTGGCTGAGTGCCCCACCTCTTCCCACCCTCCCAGTTAACGGAGTCTGCCTAACACGGTGTAATGCCAATCCTTCCTGACAGGTGATATTTATTAGCTGTGGTAATGATTGCAGATCTGATGCGTTTGCGTGTGTAAAGCTGTCCCGCGGGTCTTCTCACATACTAGTACGTCTACCTCGATAACCTCCTTTTCTGAGAACGGTCTTCTAGAAATGCAAAGTCACACAATACTTTAAAAATTATATTGCGAGCTGTAGGCGTCTGTTTTTTATTGCGTCTCTTTAAGAAGGCTCATGCAGATAGTTATAAGACCAGCTCATTTTTATATATTGAATAGAAAAAGGCCAATTGCTTGCCACGAGACATTAAAATAGACGGATGATAATGACTTGTGTATTATTTCGTATGCTTGTGTCTACATCAACTTTTGTTTTTAATTACTGATAAAGCCACACCAATATGTATTTTCCTTAACTATATAAATGTGTAACTGAACACTTTAATTTGGAAATATTCACATTTATTACTATGTTGCCGTTTTTATTTTGCATTTCCGTCCAAAATACAATGCACCATGCACTGTTAATTGATATCTACATGTTACATTAGTTGAAGTGGCAAATATAAGCCAGTTGCAGAATGTGTTTCCTACTTTGTTCCTCTAGGGGGAGTAGTAACACACGGTATTTGTGTCAAACCTCGATCCGGCGCCGGGCCGCACGTTTGCGTGCCAAATGTCTGCCGCCGAATCGAGATTCACCTTAAAGCACCCGGTCCCCCTGGGGGCCCCGGTGCCGGTGCGCAGTCAGGTAATCCGGGCGGCATGGCGGAGCGCGGTACCAGCTGTGCGGCGGATTTTGCGGACTAATCTGCTAGTATTCAGTGGAACAGTTTAACTCGCATCCCGAGGTGTCTGCTATGTTTACGACTTGCTGCTAAAGAAACGGCAGTATTTTAGAACTGAAATCGAATTTTTCTCCAGTAATAACGATTAAATGATAATCGGAATTTTGGTTTACATTAGAATCTTGTTTTAAAAGTAGATCTTGAGAAAAATTTAATCTTCTAAAAATTTCATAAAATTGTAAAAGCACTGAATAATGGATCTAAAGTAATCTAATGTTGGATGACCTCAGCTGGGATGAGTGACAAAGTAAGGACATGAGATCATGCCAATGTGCTACAGCAACAAATCAGAAATGAAATTGATTTTTTTACCTAAAGGGTGAAAGGAAAATGTGAGTAAGGAAGTTTGTTATAATCAAATGAAAGACTCTCCCTTTCTCTGTGTGTGTGTGTGTGTGTGTGTGTGTGTGTGTGAGTGTGTGTGTGTGTGAGTGTGATCACGCCCATGTGTTTTCTTGATAAGCATGTTTGGAGCACACACAGCAGCAGATGGCACCAAGCTTAGGCTGCCGCAACTAGGAGAGTTTCCCAGCAATGGAGTGTGTGTGTGCGTGTGTGAGAGAGAGAGAGAGAAGGTAAAGTTCTAAGTGTCAACTAAATTCTAGTATTCATGTGCGCAAAAATCAAGAATGGTGTTCCCTTCCGTGTGTCCCCCGGAGTGTCACCCTGGCCGTCTGCCTATCACTCCATGTCACTCCTCACTCTGTGAGCTGCTTTTCACTGCCCCTCACCACTGTAATTTTGGGTCCTCGTAATGACGGCTCCTCCATGACGTGCGCGGCCCCGCCCACGCGGGTGTGTGACCCGCTCCCCTGTGCGCCCATGCCGCTCAGCCTGGGCCTCGCAAACGTGAGCCCCGTGAATCTCACACTCCGCCCGTTTCTGCAGTGACCCACTTTTCTAATGACATCATGTGACCTAAGCAGACGTAGTTCCCGTGGCCGCTTGCGCTTCACGCCGCCGGCTCTCCTCTCTTCCTCGCAGAAATCCCCGAAATGCTCCGCACCCTCCCTGCCCTCCACGCTGCGGCGTTTTCCCCGCTGCTCCCTCCGTCTGTCTTGGTCCCGCACGCCTTCCAGCCAGCCACATACGAGACTAATGGCTCCGTTTGGATACGGAGGCTGGCTTCTCGGCCTGGAAAATGAGCTCCCGAGGTCTGATTCTGATAGCGGGTGGCGGCCCCTCTCTTACTCTTCGCTGGCCTCTCCTTGTAACCCTATCTGTGGCTGACCTTGTACCACCCAAGCCTTCGAAGACCTTCTCGCCCCCTGTCCCGACTCGTCTGTCGACAGCTCCCAGCCTGAAAAGCCTGACCCGGCTTTGAGAAAGGAGAACCCTCCCCTCCTGGTGCCATAAAAAAGGGAGAAGCTTCATACATTACTGGCTATTGGATACACGGGACAGGGATAAACAGTAGCTATCATCCAGGGACGAAAGTGTCTGCGTGAGCACTATGCCTGAGACAGGCCTGGTTTTCATTTCCATGTTTGCTCTGGTGACTCCCCATTAATATCCACCGTCTCTGGCCTGAGTCCGGCAGCCAAGGCGCATAGCCACAGACCGCGGGGATAAACGGCACGGGTGCGAGTCCGGCAGCTCTGCGCAGACAGGCCGTCTGCGCTGCCTTAACTCCGGCAGCCAAGGCGCATAGCCACAGACCGCGGGGATAAATGGCACGCCATGGGGGTTTGGAGTAATTGTCGGTGCTGTATGAGGCCCCCCGGTGGCCAGCTGTGGCACATGCCGTCGCATGCCGATGCCAGAGCCTGTGTGCCAGTGTTTGAGGAGCCAATCGCACAGCGTGACCCTGAACTGAGAGCTTTAGAATCGGCAGCTGGACCCCCCAACCCTACCCACATCGGGGGGGGGGGGGGACGACAGTCACTCATTTGCATATAGCGTTTGTCCATTCCGTTCCCCTCCTTCTCCACATGCTTGGCAAACTGTTTGCAGTGTCAATATGCAATAATGAATATTTTTATGATGGAAATCTGTTGTTTGTTTTGCTTGCTGTGGTGCCTGACCATCAAATACAAAACAACACAATACTAAGTACATAAATATAAAATCAATGAAAATGGAAAAATCAGACAGATGCAGTTATGGTCATATAGTACTTTTCAACCTAAAATAAGTAAATAATTCCTGTTGAACTGAGTTGGATCCTTGATTTAATTAAATCTGCATTTGGCAGTTTCAGTTGTTCTGACATTTGTGTACGATATTTGTTGTTGTGTAATTAAATTGCCCCCCCATCTGACGCCATCGTGCACCCTGACAGACAGTGGAACAGCCATCCTTACTCTCCCATCCATGCTCTTCAGCACGATTCCGCAGGCTTTTGTTTTGCCCCAGCGATTAGACGCTTTAAATCCCTTCATTTAAAACTTAGCCATGTGTAAGCAGTGGAGAGCGTTCTCCCGAGGAGGGAGGAGTGAGGCGGAGCCCCGGCTGCAGGTTCAAGCCCTGGGGGGGGGGGGGGGGGGGCGTGTGCTGTTTGCTGACCCCTATTACCTTGGCAAACATCTGTCTGGAGTGAAAAAAAGAGCATGAAGCAAGAGCCAAGCAGATCAGTGAGGTGGTGAATGTGACCCCCCCACCGCCTTGGAGGTTAGACATTAAAATAGAGCAACATGTGCTGCATCAGTCTTACTGTCAGATCTGCAGCCATGCGCATACGCGTTATACCGTGTTATACCGCTGTAAAAGTCACGCCAGCGATGCGCCACTTCCCTTCCCTTTCAGTGTCGCCCCCTCAGTGTCAACCCCCCCGGTATCACCCCCCCGGTGTCCCCCTCCATCGTCCCAGTGGCGACCCCCCGGTGTGGACCCCCCCCCCCCTTTGCAGCTGAGTTATACACGCAGGCCCCGGTGCGCTGAAGCTGTGCTCTCAGTGCCGTAATCGTAGCTTGCGGCTGCAGAAGTCCAATCACTCACGCTCCTTCTGCGCAGTTCATGTCCCACTGCTTTTCCAGCCTCCTGCACTTATAAGATATTCGCCGTGACTCTGCACTCCAGTAAATGGCTTCATTAAGATGTATGTGTGAGTTTAAACCCTCCCCCCCCCCCCCAAGTGGCTCTCCTCCCCTACCTCTTTCCTTAGCCTCCTCCGTGGTGTGCTCCTCCTGATCTGTCTGCAGGGGGGTGTGCCAGGCTCGTACGCGTGTGTCCCTCCATGCTGATACGCGTCTGCCGGATGTGTGGATGAGCGGGGGCCACACGCACTGGCCCCCCATGGCGAGCCTTTGATTATGCACGCTGGGCCTCTGTGGGGCTTCAGCCACGCTGTGTGTTTAGAGCCAGCGTGGGTTTAATTGTGGAGCGGCCCCCCTCCCGCGGTGGCGGTTTGCCGGCCGTTATCCGCGGCAGGCGTCTCCCCCGAGGCTTGCCTTTCACGTCGGATCAGGTCGAGTGCCCTTCGTGGCAGGCAGCAGTGTCGCACGTAAACGCCAGGCCTTGCCGATGCTCGCCTGCCTCAGAATAGATTCAGACGCTTTAGTACTGTTTTACTTTAACCCTCCCCGCCCCAATCAGGAATTTGGGTCGCGACTTGGGGTGTACTCACACTAGGTTATCTGTACCCTGCCCGGGCACCTTTGACCCCCCAATGTCCAGTTCGTTTGACCAGTACGATCGGTCCGCACTGTGCCAAGACCTGCTTGAAGAGGTGGGAATGTTCAGTTGGACTTCGGGCATGGGACGCATCTGCTGTGATCGCTAACTGAGCACAGAATTGTGACATGACATCAGTGATGCGACTGCACACACATACACTATACGGACCTGTAAGGGATGGATCGGGCCAGCCGTAGAGATCAGGTACCGACAAACACTTAACAAGCATGGCGGGCGAAGGGATCACTTTGGTCTACAGCAGAGGTGCAGTGTTTGCTGGTACCGATGTGAGTATTCAGCAACAACTGGATGTAACACACAAAAACTCTGAGATATCTGGTAAAATAAGGAATCTTCTTACATTCTGTGGATAAATTTAAAAGAGAGCCGGGTCCAAAATGACTTCAAATAAGCCACAAAGTAAGGACATTAATCAAAAGCGCTCATCATCCTGTTTTCGTCAACGCAAAAAGTTGCACGGTGATGATGAAAGCGTGCTCAGACACGGAACATTAAGTGCAATCTTGGGAGGGGGGGGCAATCTTGCTTGGGCACGGTACGAGGCAACTGGGCCGAGTGTGAGTACAGCCCTTCCTCACCTCGGAATACGGGCCTGTTCGGCTTCCTCATCAATCGGAATCTCAGTTCACCTCATTGGCAGGAAGACCCACATGTCCTGGGAATTAATTTTGGCAGCATCTGTGCTGTCATTCAAAGGCAACACAGAACATAAAGAAAGTATATAAAAAATAGTACAATGGATTTGAAAGTAAAGCAAGAGTGCAAATGAGTACAGGTTAGTCAGCATATCTCCTTGTTTCTCCCTGTACTGGCCTGTGCTCCTCTTCCTCCACCACGTCTCCTGGTTTCTTCATGTACAAACCTGTCCTCCTGCACCACGTCTTTGTTTCTCGCTGTACTGGCCTGTCCTCCTCCTCTTCCACCCCATCTTCTGGTTTCTCCCTGTACTGGTCTGTCCTGTTCCTCCTCCACCCTGTCTCCTTGTTTCTCCCTGACCCGGCTTGTCCTGCTCCTTCGGCAGATCTCCTTGTTTCTCCCTGTGCTGGCCAGTCGTCCTCCTACACTCTCTGTCCTTGTTTCTCTCTGTACTGGCTGGTCCTGTTTCTCCTCCACGTCCCCTTATTTCTCTCTGTACCAGCCTNTCTGTACCGGCCTATCCTGTTCCTCCTCCACATCCCCTTATTTCTCTCTGTACCAGCCTGTTCTGTTCCTCCTCCACGTCTCCTTGTTTCTCTCTGTACCGGCCTGTCCTGTTCCTCCTCCACGTCTCCTTGTTTCTCTCTGTACCGGCGTGTCCTGTTCCTCCTCCACGTCTCCTTGTTTTTCTCTGTACCGGCCTATCCTGTTCCTCCTCCACGTCTCCTTGTTTCTCTCTGTACCGGCCTGTCCTGTTCCTCCTCCACGTCTCCTTGTTTTTCTCTGTACCGGCCTGTCCTGTTCCTCCTCCACGTCTCCTTGTTTCTCTCTGTACCGGCCTGTCCTGTTCCTCCTCCATGTCTCCTTGTTTCTCTCTGTACCGGCCTGTCCTGTTCCTCCAGCACGTCTCCTTCTTTCCCTTTGTACAGGCAGTGCCCAGGCCTCCGCCCCTCTCTCAATGGCCTCAGTGGGCTGCCTGGAGGCGCAGACCCGATGTGCTGCGGATACGTCCTGTAAGGCCGCTTACCAGATCCTGACCCACTGCGCTTCCTTGGAGCTGGGCTCGTCCCTGGCTGCAGAGGTGCCCCGCGAGTGCCTGGAAGCGCAGGGCTCTCTGTCCCAGCACAGCTCGCTACTGTCCTGCAAGTGCCGACGGGGATCCCGCAGCGAGGAGCTCTGCCTCATGGTGTACTGGACGGTGCGCTTTTCGCAAGGTGGGTGTCCGTGTCCCATGTGCAGCATACACACACCAGCCCGCCTCCTACAGGGGAATTATGTCGCCTTGCCCCGGGAAATCGCCATTAAATGAGGGTTCAAATTGGGCCTGTTTCTCACTCCCTTCCACCCCCCCACATGTCAGCCTGTTACTAAAATAATTCGCTTGTGTGGATAATGGGGATGGTGCTGATGACCATCATCGTCACGTCAGACAGAAAAATGAATAAAAACCCGTTGCTGTGTTTCTCTGGGGGGGGGGGGTTCTTTGGGTTTGTTCCTCCCTCTCCTGTAAGGCGATACAGATTCTGAGATGTTACATCCAGACAGTAATCTGAGGCCCAGTCCCTCCTGTTTACACAGTCTGTCAGCTTCCTTTCGGAACGCTGCTCTTGAAGGTTTTCTATTTCTTTATCACACATGTATACACAGATGCTCCCTGGGTTACAGTGGGGTTATGTTCTGGTGAACCTATCATAAGGTGAAAATCCACTTTAATACAGTACACCTAACCTAAGAAACATTATAGCCTAGCCTACCTTAAACATGCTTTGAATACTTACATTAACCTACAGTTGGGCAAAATCATGAACACAAAGCTTATTTAATAATTAATCATAATAAATAAATACATGTGTGTCACATGTATTTTATTGAATAATGTACTGAAAGTGAAAAACAGAATGGAATTGGAATATGCATCGCAAAGTCGAAATACCGCAACATAGACCATCATACAGCTCTTTCTTTCACTTTTGCACCATTTTGCACTTTTGGATTAGATCCCAGGCTTAATTTTGCAGTGTACTTGTACTTGTGCAGTGATTAAGCTGAACTCGTCCTAATCTAAGTGCGTCTGCTCCTGTCCTCGCCGGCTGCAGGCTTTGAGGAGTACGACTCCTCCCCGTATGAGGACTTGGAGATGGAGCTGGTGAGGAGCATCGAGATGTCCCGCATGTCCTCCATCGTGGCAGGTAACTGGAGACACGTCCGGCTATAGTGACGCACGGTAGCGCGCTGCTGCGAGACAGCACCACTGGGCGGGGGGCGCTGAGCACCAGTCGGATGGCGAGGGGATCGTCCCGTAGACCAGATGGCGCTCAGCTCCGGCTTTGAGACGTGCTTTGTTTGCCACGCGGTGATAATGCAGAGCAATGCTCAGTGATTCATTTCCAGATGCCTTTAGGAGAACATCTGACCATGTTCTGCAAGGGGCTCAGGGAAGCAAAAATTGTAAAGATCTTTGGGAAAACTTAGAAATGTTAGCAATAAATTAAAAATGTTTCATGTCTCAGCTTCTCTCTCTTTCCGCTGGTGTCCTGATCTGTCAGTCGTTTCCTTCTTTTCTCCCTCCCTTCCTTCTTCCCTGCCGAAATGCCCCCCACCAGCCTCATCTCTGCCTCCGAATGGGCAGAACCAGTGCCTAAAGGCGGCGCAGGACTGCGGCCTGTACGAGAAGTGCGGCTCTCTGCGCTCCGAGTACGTGCTTGCCTGCACCAAGCGTGTGCCCGGCTCCGAGCGTTGCAACCGGCAGAAGTGCCACCGGGCGCTGCGGCGTTTCCTGGAGCGCGTGCCCGAGCAGTACAGCTTCGGCGTGCTCTTCTGCCCCTGCACCGACACGCTGTGCGGCGAGCGCCGTCGCAAGACCATCGTGCCATCCTGCTCCTTCGAGGACCGCGACGGAAAACCCAACTGCCTGAGCCTGCAGGCACACTGCATCAGGGATGAGCTGTGCAGGTCAGTTCCGGCGCGCCGCACAAGGGGGCGCTCCGGCGTAGACCCTGCCCTGCATTCATTTCACGGTTCAATGACACGGTGCTTTATGCAGTGTTTTATTCGTATTTACGCATTAAGCCAGGCTAAGGACAGTAGCCTTTGTTTTGTAATTATTGTGTTTAGATTTTTCATCTCATGTTGTCATTTTCATGGTGAAAACTAACAAGGCTTAGCACTATTTTTAGCAGTCATTTTCAGTGATTATTTTTCATTATGCTTCATCAATTACTCCTAAAAACAAATGCATTTGATGCAATAGGTAAAAGCATCCGAACCTTCAGTCGTTTTCATTTATTGGTGCGGTTTTAATGCCGCGATTTGGCCAATCAGCAGCTGGGTTAAGCCTAATTAATGCGGAGCTCAACCAGACTGGAAAGCCGACCGCAGCGGTTAGCGGGCACTGGGAGTGATGGGAGGCACAGCCTCCTACACCCCCCAGGTAGAAGAGGGGTATTCTGACTTATACGATACCATACGATGCCATGCGAGGATGGGGCACACCAAGGGTGTACATGAGTGGAGAGGGAGGGAGGCTGTGAAATTGCCTCACACCTGCATTTATGACCCCGCTAGGGGCAACAGAGGGGGCAGGGATACCCTGGCAGATTCCCCGGGGGGGCCCATCCATCGCCTCTCCCCCCAGCCCCCCTGCTCAGCAAATTCGATCATAGGGGGCTTTTATTTCTTCAAAACGAGTGCCGTCCCTAGCAGAGGATCCAAGGTGATGTTTAGTTGGGGGGCCTAGATTTTCTAGCTATGTCCCTGAGTCCGACTCTCATGCTTATTCTCTTTGGATCTATGAATAGGGGATGTGCAAATCCATAGACTCACAGGCTCCTGCGAATCACCACTAGGGCGGCACTAGCACTGAGATCCACGCTAGCTGACCGTTTTCCTGTCTGTGTCTGCCTGCTGCCTGACCCCTCTCCACACACGTCTGTCACTCCCAGGGCTCCCATTGGCTGATCTTGGTCCAATCACAGCTCTGAATCTCGGCTTATCGTCGTTTGTTCTTCTGCCACTCTGCCTGTAGTGTCACCAGTTGGGGGCTGAGACCCGCTGCTTTTCCTCATCTCACCTGCGGCTTGGCCACCTCTGAACTTCCCCCACGCTCTGCAGTCGTCACTCTCTTCTCAGCCCATTTAGAACCTTAAATTGGTTCAGCTCATGAGTCTTTCTAATTGGCCATATGATATCCCTCATAATAGCCCATGTCATTTTCCATGAGCAATTATTGTCACGTGACCTGATTTTGACTGACGTCCCGGCGCATCGAGAGCAGCTCCATCATCCCGTTTAATATCCCCTGCTCAACGCCCCCCCCCCCTCCCTCCACGGTCGTTTTTCATGCTGGCCATTTTCTTTGGAAAACGGCAGCAGTGATTGTGTGGCATAGATGTACTCTAGAGGGCGCCGGCGTGCGACTGACTCTCTGTCTGTCTGTGTGTCAGATCGCGGCTGGCTGATTTCCAGCATAACTGCCAGGCGTCTCCCTACTCGCTGTCCGGCTGCCTGCAGGACAGCAGCGCCGTGTGTCTGAAGGCCTACGCGGGGCTCATAGGTGAGCAGCAGCTGCGGGAAAGTCAAGAGGGAGGGGCCGGGGGGGGCGCATGGGATTTGTTATCCAGCTGTGTTTATGGCCACCATTCAACCCAACCCCCCAGGCACCATCATGACCCCCAACTATGTGAGCAACAGCAGCATGGAGGTGTCGCAGTGGTGCAGCTGCGAGGGCAGTGGGAACCAGTGGCAGGACTGCCTGCGCATCCTGCACATGTTCAGTGACAACGGCTGCCTGCGTGAGTGTCAGTGTGGGCAGGCAGACTGGCAGGGGCCTGGAGGACAGGGCGCACCGAGGGGATACATGCACACACACATGAAGGGGCCA